ATGTTCCCGTAGTGGAACTTGTTGTTGCGGCCGAAACAGCTGTACGTGTTTCCGCAACGTTGCACAAGCTTCCGTAAGCTTCCGCGACAGAGTCGGCGATCTCAGCTCGTTTGTCCAAGGGAAGGTCCCTGTGTGCTGCAAGCATGGCCTGCATGTGTTTTGGTAAACGGCCGAGCCAAAGGGTCTGCAAAACATCATCGGGGAAATTACTTCCCGCCAGGTTGCGAAGATGGCGTAAAAACTGCGTTGGTTTTCTGTCACCGAGAGGTTCGTTTTCCAGGAGACGTCGCGTGTTTTGTTCCTGTGAAGTTCCCATTCGGCTGATGAGTTCCTTTTTGAGAAGTTCAAAAGTCCGCTCAGCTTTCGGTTTGAGCAACACGTCACGGATTTCCACGGAATATCGCGGGTCTAAAGCACTGAGCGCGTGACCGAATTTTGTTGCATCCTGAGTAATTCCAGCTGCATCAAAACTACTTTCGAGCAACAAAAACCACAATTCAGGATCCTCAGGCATGAATATTGGCACTTTAACTGCTATTCTTTCGATAGTTTCGTTGCCCACTGTAACATTTGTCATTTTGACTTATTAAAAAAAAAATGAATGTCAAAAAATAAAATAGAATGTCAAAAAATAAAAAAAAATTGTCACAAAGTCTCAGTGTCACGAGTAAATTTTTCACTTTGTCGACTATTTTCGTATCACTTGATTGTCACTTTGTTGTCACTTTTTATCACTTAATTGTCACTTGATGGTCGCTTTGTTGTCACTTAATTGGCACTTTGTTTTCACTTGGTTGTCACTTTGTTGGCACTTGATGGTCGCCTTGATGTCAGTTAATTGTCACTTTGTCCCACGAAAAATAATTCACGATCACGTCGGGGTCACCAATTTGTGGGATTGTTAGGATTGTGTGACACAATTAATTTCTCAAATTAATAACAACATTTATTTAATCAATAACAAAATTACATACACAAAATATGAAAGATAGTGAAATGTTAAGGTTTCGATCACGAAATAAAAGATACGAATTTACTCGCGGAATTTCTCGTTAACGTAGGTGCTTGTTGAAATGCTCTCAAAATTGAACTGAACTTTACACAGAAGATCGATGCTTCTTATACAAGAAAGTACATTAAAAACCTATTAAAAGTAATTAAAAATGCATTTCTATGTCTAGACTAATATGACGTAAAGATTCATTCTAAACACGTAATTCAAAGGTAAAGTTGGAGACAGAGAGTCGGACTTAGGGGCATGACAAAGCTAGAACGTTAAAAACTCATTAGACACAAAGAAAAGGGCCAGACAAGACCTAAGCGTTAAACCTGAATTGCGAAAAAGTAGAATAAGTGTAGAAAATTCCTATTTCATTATTTCATTAAAAATATTTGAAAATTATATAAAAATATTGTAGAGAACGCTACAGAGTCAATGTCAGAATATTCTTTAGAGTCAGAGAGAAACAAGATTACATTTTTATGGCAACCCTCTCGGCAACCCTGATTAAGAGAAAAAGTTAAAAAATTTCTGAAAATAAGGAAAAAGACAGGGAAATAAAAATTAAATTTTTATGACAATTTTGAATAAAATAAACGACTTTTTCCTCTTTTTTGTACTTTGAATCAACTAAAATGACTTTTCTTGCACTTTGAAGTAGATTAAAGACATGTTATTAGAATCCATTCATCATTTTTCTGTAATAAATTATAATTATTAAATTAATAATTATTTTTTTATTTTTCTTTGTAAATTATAATGAAAAATTTGAGAATTTAATTTTGTAATGAAAAACATGGTTCTTTGCGGGTGTTAAAAAGGCAAAAGGCAGATGTAACGTGGGAGGAAATTATTTTTCAATGACATATGCCCACTTAAGAGCTGGAATCTGATCAGTTTCTGGGAAAGTAGATTAGAATTGTGGGGGTCACAACAAATCATGTAAATATATACATTATATCAATTCACTAAAGTAGGGGAGAATTTTGTTTTTCTTTTCTTTTTCTTTTTCATAAACTCCAACTATGAAAATGAACCTATTCAACTAATAACAGATCATTGCGTGCAGCTTCTGAAAACCATTCATTTAATCCCGTTCATTGAACCATTTGATGGAATTTACACACGCATCTTTATATTAAAAGAAAGAAAAGACATTAGACGATCTAAGTGTGTAATTTTCTCAAATAGCCCTCCAGTTAAATGCGCACTTTAATTTCTTTTTCTCTACTCTTTCTCCCAACTCTCAATCATCTTAAAAGAATATTGCACTTATAGTATAGTTTCTATAAATTTCGAAATACTTTTTCTTCAAACTTTTTAATTTAATTGATATTGAAAAAAGATATAAGTATATTCTTTTTTTATTGACATTTTCATAAATTACTAATCAGAAAAAATTTCAGTTAAAAAAATCCATTAATTTTTAGTTATTAATTTATTTTTACATTTATTATTTATTATATAAAAATGATTATTACACAATGTAAAAATTATTATAATTATTCAATAATAATAATGAATCATTTGACAATTCGGATATAAACTGAAATTAATGTCAAACGAAAAGAGTAGTTTTCGTCGAAAATTCTTGAGTTAATTTACAACTTGATGGAGGAGCTGAAAATGAAATTTCATTTCCCTGATCTTTGACAGTATTAAATTTCTAATTAAATCTCTCGTTTGAGTAAAGTTTCAACTTAAAGCGAAGAGTCACTTTATTCAAGTGCAATTTTAATTATTTGTCAGATTTTAACGCCTCTTGTCTCATTAAAATTGCCAGATGCTACTTTCAACTCTACCATTCCTTATTTTACTTTTAAATTCTCCATGTGCGTTGTATATACATATACAAGGGTTTTGTTTTCTCGCGCTCACGAAGGCAATTAAAATATTTTTTTTAATAACTAACATTAAAGGGAGAACGAAAAAATCGACTTTAATTGTTACAATGAAAAGTCGTCACTAGTTTTTCACGATAAAAATTGATTGAAGCATTTCTATAAATTGAAAAAAAAGAATTCAAAACCTTAACATATTTAACTTTTTCCAACATCAGTTGTACAAAATAAATTAGTCTCCAATTAGTACATAATATTGGTGATTGAATTTCCAATTATTTAATCTCTGTAATTTTATCTCTTTAATTATTTATTTTATAATTAATTCTTCAATTAATGAACTTGTTTGAATAATAAACAATAGTATTAAGTTAATTAGTAAATAAATGCTTTTAGTTTTATTTCATAACTGAAGAGAATGTTTATCGTTACCGACAAATGTTGAATTATTCATTTCGTTTATTATTAATTTTTGTTAGATTTTGTTTGTTTTTTTTTTTTTTTTTTGTTTTTTGTTAGTTAAAATTTTAGGGAAAAGTCAGAGAATTTTATTAAGAGTTGGAAAAAAATTAAATTTTTATAGAATTTATAATAAAATTCTGAATTTTCGTGTCTTTTTTGTTTGCCTTAAAACTTTAAAATTGACAAGAATTTTAATGCATACATACAAAACCTTAAATTTTTCCTTTTTTTGACAATAATTTATTTTAAACAGTTTAATTCTTGAAGAACTATCAAATCGATATTACTTATAAATTATTTAATGAATTTAAAAATTTCAAAAATAATTGAATTTTCTAAGAATGCGTTTATAATTTTCATAAATAATTGAATTTCAAAAGGATTCAATTTGAAATTTTTAGTTAGAAAATTTGAATTTAGAATGAATTTAATTAGAAATTTTTAAAATATTAGTTTTTTAAAATTTCTAAATAAAATTCTTTTCAAATTAGTTGAATTTTTTAATATATTTATTTAATTAATTAAAAATAATTGATTTAGAGAAGAATTTTAGTAAAAACTACAAAAATAATTGAATTTTTAAAATGCTTTTAAATGAAAATCTTTGCAAATCTGAATTTTTAATACTTTTAATTAGTAATTCTGTCGAATATGTTAAATTTTGTTTGATTATAATTTCAATTCTATTTTTATTAAAATTCGTCGATAAACTTCAATTATTTAAAAATTTGTTGATATAAAATTCTTTACGAGAATTCAATTTTAGAAACATTCAATTATTTAATAAATTATTTATTTTTGTATTTAAATTTGTATTTATATGTAATAATTTAATTCTCGTATAATTTTTTAATAAAACTTGATTTAGAAATTAATTTTAGTTAAAATTTTAGATTATAATATTGAATATTAAAAGCATAAAAGCGTGAATTTTGAGAAATAATTATTGAATTTTGAAAAGGTCTCAAAATATTTGGAAATTTGAATTTTTCATACTTTTAACACTAATAATTCTGTAGAAATAATTTTTTTGAAAAAGTTTATTTGAACTTTTTTTTTGAAATTATTTTAAGTTATTTTTAATTTTAAAATATTTAATTGATGAATTTTCAAATAATCGAAATTCTCGCAACGAATTTTTATTACATTTTTTTTTTAAATAATTGAAATCCTGTGAAGTATTTTATTATTTATGAAAATGATTGAATTCTTGCAACAAATTGTATTAATTTTTTTAAATAATTGAAATCCTGTGAAGAATTTTATTATTTATGAAAATAATTGAATTGTTGCGAAGGATTTTATTATAAACAATAAATAAAAAATAAATAAATAAATAATTGAATTATTAATTTGTTAGATTTCAATTTTTTGTTTTTTATTAGTTAAAATTTTTAGTTTGTTACATTTTGCTTATTACCGACAAATGTTGAATAATGATTTCGTTTATTATTGTTTCTTATTTTCGTTTATTCTTTTATTTTTGCTTATTGTTAATTATTGATAGATTTTTCTGGAACTATTTAAAAAAAACTGTTTGCCGAAATTCTTCTCTATAGCTACTTAATTATAAATTAAATAATTAGAATGAAATTAATTTAAAATTTTGCATTTAGCTTCCCGTCATGAAGTTGATGAAGAGAGATTCTTTTTTCTTGATTATTCATGTTAAATTGAATTTTTTTTTTTTTTTGCAGAAAAGAAGTATATTCGTTGGATTTATATATAAAGTCTGGAATGTGGCGAATTATTCCTCCTGTGATTTATACAACTACAGATACCGGAAGTTGAAGGAAAAGTAGAGAACACGGGGTGAGCACTGAAATTAGTATATTTCTGCAATTCTCACGACTTCCTCTGTTCAACGACGCATGGAAACATGCAGACAGGTGTCGAATGTAAAGGGCCTATAAAAAACAAAAAGTGAACATTTGGCTTGTAACAGCCCAAATGTCCTCTCTCATTCTCTAATAAAAAATAATCACCAAATGTCTAGCTAACATAATGCGCCAAATTAATTAATTCACTTTTCAAAAACGTTCCCTTTTTTGATTAATGGTTTCTTTGAGCTCCTAAATTAAAGTCTTGATAAACCGGAAATTTTATTTCATTGAGAACAATTTTCTTTTAATGTATATCATTTCGGTCCCCTTCGCATTGGAAATTAATTTAAATATTTAATTTTTTATCGAGAATAACGCAATTCATTGCTGAGAGACACAAAAAAAACATGATTTCATGATTTATAAGCAAAAACTTTAAGACTTTAAGTCTTTTTTTCTTGTTAATTTATTTATTTCTTTTTTCGATTGCGAGATGTGGCAAATGAACACAATGTCGGTCTTTGAGTCTGTGAACCGTGAATCAGGAAAAGAAGATGAAGAAAACCGAGTGCTGTTGTGTGCGGGTATATATACATCTATATAGACACACTACAAAAAGAAATCTGTTTTGATGCTTTGACCGTCGCAAAACGATCTTTAAAAGACTCTCCATAGACTTCATCTCACTGTTGGTTTATATACATGTATATACATACTTGAAAAGTATCAGACTGCGAGCACCAGATTTTCTCTTTCTTGACATGCAAGTTTACTATGTATGTTGTACAACATTCTTCCATTCGACCTCCGTTCCATGACATTCCTGCGAAAAATTAAACTCAACAAACCACATATAATATTCTATAAAAGACGGACTCTCATGTCTGTGATACTTTCCAGTAAAATATAAATAATAATTCTCAGAATTAATATTCATTCTTTCGTTATCATGAAACAACAAACAATGCGCCATTATTGTTTCAAATAAAAAAAATTACAGTTTCTTCGAGAATCTCCATGAATATTTTATATCGATATTGCTTTCATGGTTTCATGGTTTTAAAACAAACGGGGCTCTTCAACAAATTAAAAATAACTATAGAAAGAGTTTTTAATTCAAATTTATTATTAATTAATTATTATTATTATTACAGGGCTCGAACTAGGTCCGTAAATCCCGTAAAAGTCCGTTTTTTGAAAAAAGATCCGTAAAGTCCGTAAATTGTATTTTAGAGAAATTACAAATGATTATAGAAATTCAATAAAATTATTTTCAAAAAATAATAAAAATTTCATTATTTACAAATTTTTTTATAAATCTCTTCGCAATCATTCAATTATTTTCATAAGTAATAAAATTTTCACAGGGATTCAAATATTTTCGTAAATAATAAAATTCTTCTTAGAGATTCAATTATTTTTATAAATAATAAAACTCATTGCAGAATTTCAATTATTTTTAATACAATTTCAATTGAATTCCTCGAAAAATGTAATTATTCTTAAAATTTTTATTAAAATTCGTCAAAAGAATTCAATTATTTAAAAATTTATTGATACAATTCTTTATGACAATTCAATTTTAAGAAACATGCAATTATTCAATAAATTGTTCTTTTTTGTATTTAAATAATTGAATTCTGGTTGAATTTTCTAATAAAAATTAATTTAAAAATGGATTTCAGTTAAAAATTTAGATTATAATTAAATATTAAAAGCATTAGAGCATACATTTTTAAAAATAATTGAATTTTGAAAAGGTTTCAGATTAAAATCTTTGAAAATTTGAATTTTTCATATTTTTAACTAACAATTCTGTGGGATTAATTTTTTTTTGAGAAAGTTTAATCGCGTATTTTTTTTTATATTATTTTGAGTTTTTATTTTCTAATATATATATATATATATATATATATATATATATATATATATATATATATATATATATATATATATAGGGTAAATGCACTAGTAGTCGGACACTTAAGGATACGATCTTATATTATGCTTTTTTTCTTGAAATAGCAAATATCTACTGTGTTTATAAGCACATTATCAATTAAATGAGTTCTTCAGGATTAAAAATCATGTAAATTTGTTACAAATACTTGAGTATTTAATAAAATATAAACATTTTAATGAAAAATTACGAATGCTTTAGTAGTCGGACACTTTTTTTCCTTGTTTCTATAGTCGGACATCTGTCAGATATTTTGGATTTATAAAGTAAAACAGATCATTTTTTAATTGCTATCGGCTGGAAAATGGAATTAAACCATACTAGAAGTTATTAATATAATATTTAAATCGTATAAGTTTTAAAATTTATGATTAATTATTAGCAAAACTTTGTGCTACTCATTGCGCTACTCGAAAATGGTTGTATCTATAGTCGGACACCACGATTTTTAAAATATTAAATAAAATATTTATTGTTTAATTATTTTGTAAAATAACACTAATTTCATAAAATATAGACTTTACACATTCGTCCAGTATATTTTTTTAAGTAAATATCACAATGCATTATTATTTATTTGCCAAAAAACATGAAAGTGTCCGACTACTAGTACTGTCCGACTATACCCGCACTTACCCTATATATATATATATATATAATTGAAGAATTTACGAATAATTGAAATTTCGTAAAATTGAATATTGTAAATAAATGGAAATGAAAATTGTCAAAGAACGTTTAAAAAATTATTAAAAATAATCGATTTTAAGAAGAATTTTAGTTAAAAATTCTTGAAAATAATAATTTTATCACTGGGTTATCTTCAATTATTATAAAACATGAAGAAATCGATCTGACTGGTTATATTTTTGTCAGCAATTGGTCCGTAAAGTCCGTATTTTGAAATACTTTCACTGGTTCGAGCCCTGTATTATTATTATTAATACTAATAATTATTCATATGAATAATATTCGGGATCACAGTTTGTCACCTATTCACCTTTTTTCACCAACTTCAAATTTTGTGACCTATTTTACCTTTTTTGTCAATTTCTTCCCTTTGAACTCTTTTTCCTCTTTCGATTAATTTTTTTATTGTAGTATATTCCAGAAATGGTTGAATTTACAATATAAAAAATATAAATAAAAGCTCAGAAATGCTGAAAAATCATATTAGCTTAATTTTTATAAATAATTCAATTTATCCAAAATTTACTTTTTACTTTAATTTTTTGATGAAATATTATTGTCATGTTTTTGTCACCTATTTTGGAAAATAATTCACCTTTCCATTTATATTAATAATTAAAGAAAAAAGGTACTGTGATCCCTGTAATAATAGTAATATTAAAAATAAAAATAGTAAAAATAAGAATAGTAATAATGAAAATAATAATAGTAATAATAATAATATTTTTAGTGGGAGGAAGTAAACTGTCGAACTTGAGTTTTCTTTACTTCTTTTCATATTAAAGACTTTTGTTAAAAAACTTCAAAAATTCTTCATACTTTTTCTATTTTTAAATTATTTATTCAGAAAAAAATAGTTTGTGTTTTAATTTTTTGGTTTTCTGGTGAAATATTTATCTGTAGGTAGTAGTATTAATATCAAAAAATTATAGTTCATTTAATTTGAAAAATTAATAATTTTAGTGAATTACATTTTTCGAGGAAAAGAAAAATTATTAACGAAATTTAAGACTTTTTTCTAGAGGGACTGAAAAAACTTGGTCTTGGATTTTTAAAATTTTGAAGTAATTTCATACTCGTTGTATTGTTGCAGATCTTAAAACTTTAAATTCATTTTTATTATTGAATTTTGAAAAAATTTCCAGTCTTCGAAAAAAAGCGTTCTTCTCTTTTGTTTAATACAAAAAAATCCAATTTATGACCTTCATTTTTCAAGATCATTTTCTTTCTAAATTTCTTTCATTAACGGTGAAAAAAAATTAATTAATCTCTTTATATTGGAAAAAACCTTTCGTACCTAACTAATGTTACAAAATATTCTTAACACAGCGCAGTGAAAAAGCAAAAAAAAAAGAAACATCAAATAGACCTTTCAAGTAAAATTCACATTTTTCACCTCGGTCACTCGACATGAAATCACAATTTATAGAAATGTATAGGAAGCGTAAAAAAATTTGTTCGAAAATATTGAAAGGAAAATTTAAAAGTACTTAATAGTAAAATAAAATATTTCTTTATAAAAGGGAGAAAATTCCAAGATTATAAGGAATTTATATTAAAAAGTTATTATATCGATCTCTTATATTTTTTATATAACCAGCTTTTGCTGAAAAAAAGTTAATTTAAAAATATCAAACTATATAAAAAATGCTTTTTTAAATCATTTCAGGTCAAGAAAAAAAATATCTCTAAATTTGGTTACTAAGCAAACTAGAATCAAATAATGGTCTCTAAAAATTTGTTTTCGAAAATATTGAAAGGAAATTTAAAAGTATTTATTAATTATTTCTCTAATTTTATTTATTAATTTATTAATCTATTTATTTTCTTATTTACTAATTTATAGTAAAATAAAATATTTATTTATAAAAAACAACAAGCAATGAAAAATGCCTTTTTTAAATCATTTCAGGACAAGAAAAAAAAATGTAAATACTAGGCGAACCAGATGAGATGAATTTTTGTTTTAAAAAGCAGTTTTTAGAAAAAAGTATTATAAAAGAATATTCAGCACTAAAAAAAATTTTATTTGATTCAAATAAACGATTACTTGTTTATTATCAAATAGATATTTATTTGTATCAAATAATTTTAATTTAAATAATTATTATTTAAAGCAATTAAATATTATTTACTTCAAATACTGAAATTGAGGGTTCTATAATCAGTTATTATTTTTTTAAGCTATAGAAATCATCAAATAAATCAAAAATGAAAGAGTATAAATAATAAAGTAATAATAAAAATAATAATAAATATATAAATAATAAATAAAATAATAAAGTATAATTTAAATGTTAGTTTTCTTCAAATTCTGAACTTGAGGGTCCTGTTCAAAA